TTTCATGATTTGTTATTGGCCTCTAGGTTTTTTGATTCATCCTGGTTCAATTTTGGAAGATTGTATTTTTTTAGAAATTTGTCTGTTTTACCCAGTTTGTTGGCATATAGTTGTTCATAGTATTTTCTTAAAATCCTTTGTATTTCTATGGTGACAGTTTTTACTTCACCACTTTTATTCATGATTTTATTTGGGACCTCTCTCTGTTTCTTGAGTCTGGCCAACGGTTCATCAATCTTACTTATTTTCAAAGATCCAGCTCTTGGTTTCATTGATTTTTCTGTATTTTTTTTTTTAGCTTCTATGTAATTTCTTTCTGCCCTAATCTTTACTACTTCCTTTTTTCTACTTCCTTGGGGCTTGTTGTTCTCTTCCTAATTCTTTAAGTTGTAGTGTTAGATAATTTATTACCAGATTTTCTTGTGTGTGTGTTTTTTTGTTTTGTTTGTTTTGTGTGGTTTTGTTTGTTTGTTTGTTTGTTTGTTTGTTTTAGGTAGGCCTGTAGTGCTATGAACTTCCCTCTCAGGACTGCTTTCACCGTGTCCCAGAGATTTTGGGTTGTTGTGTGTTCATTGCATTTGTTTCCAGAAAGTTTTTTCTTTCTTTCTGGATCTCATTGGTAACCCATTCATTGTTTAATATCATGCTATTTAGCTTCCCTGTGTTTAAATGTTTTTGAGTGTTTGTACTGTAGTTGATTTCTGATTTCATCCCACTGTGATCTGAGAAGATACTTGATATAATTTCAATTTTCTTTAAGTTGTAGAGACATGTTTTGTATCCTTGCATGTATCTATCTTTAAGAATGGCCCATGTGCACTGAGAAAAAAGTATATTCTGCAACTTTGGGGTGGAATGTGCTATAAATGTGAATTAAGTCCATCTGATCAGTGTGTCATATAGAGTCTCTGTTTCCTTATTAAGTTTTTGTCTGGAAGATGCATCCAGTGATTTCAGTGGGGTGTTAAAGTCCCCTACTATGACTGTATTGCTGTTGATTTCTCCCTTAAAGTCCTTTAAAAGTTCTTTTTATATATTTAGTTGCTCCTATATTGGGGGCATATATATTTACCAGGGTTATATCCTCTTGTTGGATCGATCCCTTTACTATTATACAGTGACTTTTATTGTCTCTTGTTATATCCGTCATTTTGAAGTCTATTTTGTCAGATGAGTATTGCTACTCCAGCTTTTTTTTTTCCATTTGCATGAAAACTTTTTTCCATCCCTTCACTCTCATCCTGTGTGAGTCTTTTGTTCTGAGGTGGGACTCTTGCAGACAGCATATAATTGGGTTATATTTTCATATCCATTCAGCTACCCTATGTCTTTTGACTGGAGCATTTAATCCATTTACATTTAAGGTTATGATTGATAGGTACTTATTTATTGCCATTTTCATTCTTTATGCACCTCTCTCTCTCTCTCTCTCTCTCTCTCTCTCTCTCTCTCTCTCTCCATATACACACACACACTCACACTAGAGGCCCGGTGCATGAAATTTGTGCACTGGTGGGGTCCCTAGTGCACAAATTCCCCACCTCCCCACCTCCTCCTTCCCTCGCCACCCACATCTGCCACCACCCACCCCAGGTTCCCCGATCAGGCCATTGGGACTTGCCGGTGCAGGGGAAGGACCAGGAGGTTGGCTGGCAGGGGGGAGGGGACAACTGCCACTGCAGCAGGTGGGCAGCTGGCCAATCGGGGCCTGCCGGACAGGGGGAGGGACCCGGGAGGTTGTCCGCTGGCCCCAAGGAGGGAGCTGGCCCTTGGCCCCCTGGGAAAGGGGCTGCATCTGCTGCCACCCACCCCCGGTTTCCAACTTTGTTCTTTGTTCTCAAGATTGCTGTGGCTATCTGGGATGTTCTGTGGTACCATATAAACTTTTGGAATATTTGTGCTAGTTCTGTGCAATATGCCATTGCTATCTTGATAGGAATTGCTAAATATATTGATTGCTTTGGGTAGTACGGGTATTGCCTTTCTTTTTATAATATGTTTTTATTGATTTCAGGGAGGAAAGGAGAGGGAGAGAGATATATAATCATCAATGATGAAAGATTTTAATCCTGATAATCTGGATTCAAAGTCTGTTCTCTTAATCACTATAGTGTCTTTCACATTTCATAAATAACTTATCTGTGCCCTTCTTTTCTTGTGTGGTGTCACATTTTCTATTACCCTAAAGGAGCCAATATCTTCCTGAGCTTTTCTTTCCTTACTATTAAACCTACTCTCAGCCCTAGCCGGTTTTGCTCAGTGGATAGAGCATCGGCCTGTGGACTGAAGAGTCCAGGGTTCAATTTTGGCCAAGGGCACATGCCCAGATTGCAGGCTCGATTCCCAGGAGGCGTGCAGAAGGCAGCCGATCAATGATTCTCTCTCATCATTGATGTTTCTATATCTCTCTCTCCCTCTCCCTTCCTCTCTGAAATCAATAAAACTATATTTAAAAATAAGACCTACTCTCAGAAAAGAGCTAATACATATGCTCATTCATTCATTTACATCAAGGAATAAATGACTGATATGGTTTAATATAAAATAATTCTACTTCAGGGTTGAGTTTACGTTGGGACACGGGGAACATTAAGGGGCCATAAAACGTTAACCAAAAACCTTGGTGAAATTGGAAGTATATATGGGCATGGGAGAACAAGTTAATTGGTACATGGCATTCTGTGCCCTCAAATTATACCATTATTTAGTTGGCCCACGCCTTGTAGAAATGAACATAAATGTGGAATGGAAAGAATAAGAGATACATCTTTATTATATTGACTAAATTATTTTAGAAATACCCTATTATTCCCCTAATTCATTGTCAAGAGTTCTGATATAACCCCAAGAGACATAGCCCCAGGGGAAAGCTTTAACTTGGACCATCATAGGTGAAAGAGATAATCCCACCTAGGGTTAAGTGTTTATGCATTTACATAGGAATCAAGGTAGAGCCAAGGATTGATTTTTGTTCCTAAGAAGTAAAACCCTCTCATGTGGGTGTATGATTATTTGCTCTAGGAATCTTAAACCTAGGACTGTTACCCTAGTGCAGTGATTTTCAACCTTTTCAGCTCATGGCCACAAACTGCTAAACATCTGCAGCACATTGAAAGATACATTTTTTGCCTCTCTGACAAAAAAAAAAAATAAGTGTGATTTTTGATTCATTCACACTGGACAGCTATTGTGGTGGCTGTTGTCATTTTTTTATTTGACAATAAGGGGAAAGAGGTCAATGCCTCTGACTAAATAGTCAGATATTGCATATTTTGAAAAATTCTTGTGGCACACCGGTTGGAAGAATCACTGCCCTAGTTATTTTTTATACCTCTCTTATTATTATTCCACATCAGTCAGTCAGTCATTTCTTTCTATCTAGTTTCTCATGTATTTCTATCTAGTTTAGTCCAATGAACTCTATTGAATGCCTGCTTTATGCCAGATACTGTGCTCTGGGCATATAAGTACTCCTATCTTAAATTTCTAATTTTCTAGGAGAGAATATAGCATGATTCAAGCAATCATAGAAGTGTGTTTCAGTAGCAGTATACAAGAGGAATTACTTTGTTAGGGAAGCCAGAAAGACTTGCAAAGGATATGATGCTTGAATAGGGTTTTAAAGAATAGATAGGAGTTCTTCAGAATAATGATAGAGTAGCAACATATGCTAGCTAGAGGGCAAAGCATACACAAAGACATGGAAGCATAGCACAGTGTGACCTGGCAGCCATAGTAATAGCACTATAGAATAGATGAAGTTTGAGTCAAAGGGTGGTGAAAATTATGTTTTTGCTTTTTTTATTGTCAAGAGCTTTATATGCCTAGGCCGTGGTCGGCAAACTGTGGCTCGCGAGCCACATGCGGCTCTTTGGCCCCTTGAGTGTGGCTCTTCCTAAGCCTTAAGAGTACCCTAATTAAGTTAATATATGTACCTATATAGTTTAAGTTTAAAAAATTTGGCTCTCAAAAGAAATTTCAATCATTGTACTGTTGATATTTGGCTCTGTTGACTAATGAGTTTGCCGACCACTGGCCCTAGAGTATCAACTTGTTTTTCTCCATGTCTGTGATTATTGAAGGCTTAGTCTTTTTCAGTACTCTGCTAAGTCATACATATGTACCGAACCTTTAGACTTTAGCCACTGTTATCTTGACAACTAAGCATTTGTACATAGCATGTGTTCTTAACCTTCAACCCTCCACGATAGGAACTGATATCTTAGTATAGTAGAAGGAGGAATGACAACTTTCACTTGTATCTACATGGTCCTATAGGTTTCATAATCAGATTTGCATATAATAACTTTGAAAAAATTTTAGAGTTAAAGGACTAATATGAAAATAATGTTAGTACAGTAATGCAATTTACTATACAAAATAATTTAATTCCATTAAAAAGTGTCTTTTTTCTGCTCTCTAGTCATGCGATAGCACTATATTGAAAAATGCACAATGGAAGAAAACAGGAAGAGAATACCTCCCTTCCATATCTGAGAGAAAATGCTTAACTGTATACTCATGCAATGTCTGGCTTTAGTCAGCTCTCTAAGACAGTAAAATTATAGGAAAGTGTTCATTTAGTTTCTTCTGTTCATCATAAAATTTGAAAGCATAAACACAAAGGAAGACGCGTTGTTAAAGAATATACTGCTTTAGCCCCAGCAGTATGGTTCAGGGGTTAAAGCATCGGGCCTGCACACTGAAGGGTCATGGGTTCTACTCCCCAGGTCTATTCCCAGTCAAGGGCAGGTACCTGGTTGCAAGTTGATCCCAGGCCGGGCTTGGTGGAGGGCAATCAATATGATATGTCTCTCTCACATCAATATCTCTCTTTCTCTTTTCTCTCTCTCTCCACTCTCTCAAAAAAAATCAATGGAAAAAATATCCTCTGGTGAGAACTAACAAAAAAAAAAAGAATATACTGCTTTAAAATAAAGTTATGTGGAAAATAATATCAAAGCAAACCGATTCTTATGTTAATCTGTAACTTTTTTAAGGATGCTGGACAGTTTTATGCTAAATATAAAGAAACAAGACTGAAGGAAAAGGAAGATGCATTGACTAGAGCTGAACTTGAAACACTTCAAAGTGAGTTTTAAACATTGTCTTACTGTGTTAACAAAATCATATAAAATTGATTATTTAAGTTTGAATTTTCTCTTAAATTCAGTAGTAATTAAATTTTCTATGTCTTCTTTGCCACCCTCTATATAGTTAGTTGTCCTTAATGTATAATATGTGGGAAATACTGTATTAGTAATTATTGAGCCCTCCACAGTTTAATGTCAGAAGGAGAGAGAAAATCAACATGGGTAATATAGTTCCTCAAGTCTAGGAGGCATCCAGAATCTGGAAATCCTAAAATACTCCAGTGCTGTAATTGTCACTGATACAATATTATGTGCCAAGTCTATCCAGTTATCACCCAACTTGCTGTATTACAGTAGTAAGTGGGAAACCTGGAAAATCAATGGCTTTTGTTTTGAAAGTTTTGTTTCATTTGTATTAGTGTTATATAATATGAAAAACCTTGACTACATTATCAGCATGTTGAAGTCTTCCACTGAACATTAAAGACAGTTATTGCTGATTTTAGAAGTGGAACATAAAAGGCATTTTCCCCATTTTCTTTTTTGTCTGATTGTTGAAATAGTTTCAATTAAATTGAATAAATAAAACTAAATGTAATTTTTATTAAGTAAAATGTTTACATAAAAGTGTTCTAAGCCTTTTAAGACTAGTCAAAATGTGCCTTTACATTCCTTTATTTTTGTTAAGAGCATTTAACAATATTTAGCATTAATTTATTTATTACTGTTGTTTACCATCTGGTTCCCCCAATAAAATATAAGTTTCAGGTCTATTGTTTCTATTAAAGTCCCTGGGACACAGTAGGTGCTCAATAAGTACTTGACTGAATTCATGGAGGTGAAATCTCTTATTTTAAAAATTCCAATGTATTTTTGGTTCAGACTCCATTCCCTTCACAGATCTGTGTTCCTAGAAAAGTACATGGTGTACCCGGTACCAATCTGGGCACAGAAGACAATGCAAAGATTACTTTGCACCTATAAATGAATGTACATGATAGCATGCATAGTTTTATAAAATGATTTGTGTACTTTTGAGGATATGCAGTAAAAGTTTTTCTGCAGCATATAGTAGTAATTTAGCCAAATCAACCTAGAGATGAGCAACTGTGGTATTAGTATACCACACATTTAATATACAGAAAAGTGGTGTTAGCTATTTCCCTTCATATACTGAAAGTCCTAGCTACTGCCTTCACCCTGACATCAGACCAAGGTTTAAGAACAGATAAGAATTATGTTATCTTCACACCCAAAAGTGCATTGCCACTACCTACTAGTAAATGTGTGCCTTTGAGGATTTTAGTTTTCTGATCTGTCCAAAAAAAAACAACATGTTGGACTAGATTACCCCAGTATTAGTTTTCTATTGCTAATCTAACAAATGGCTACAAATTAAAGGGCTTAAACACAAATTTATTATCTTAGAGTTGTGTGGGTCAGAAGTCTGACCTGGATCTCACTTGCCCAAAATCAAGGTTTATCAAGCAGGACTGCATTCCTTTTCCAGCTTCTAGAGACCTCCCACATTCCTTGGATCCTGGCCCTTCCTCCATCTTCAAAGCCAGCAATGGTTCATCTCTTACTGTTCTTCTAGTGTCACATCTCTGCCTGAACATAACTGGGAAAGGTTCTCTGTTTTTAAGGACCCGTGTGATTAGATGAGGTCACCTTGGAGAATTCAGGATAATCTCCTTTCTCTAGGTGTTCAGTCATAATCACATCTGCAAAGTCCCTTTTCCCTTGTAAAGTGAAATATTCCCAGCTTCCGGGGATTAGAATATGGTCATATTTAGGGGACCATTTTTTTTTTTTTTTTTGCCTATCAGAATTCTTCAAATGTCTGGGAAGCTTTAGCTTTAGCACAGGGACTAGTTTTTTGTTTTTCCGGGTTTTTTGTCTGCAGGATTGAATACAGTGTCCCGGCACATAGTGAATGTTTAGCAGATGGATGAGTAAATGAATATATGAATTAATGTAATGTCATGAATATTAATGAGTGTCATGTGAGCACCTAGTCTATACAGAACTCAGATTCAGGAGCATGTAATTTAATTCAAAAGTTTTCAACAATTACAAGTACAGACTAATATTCAAATTAGCAATATAACTAAGTCAGATTTCCATTAAGAGGAAAATTTTTAGGATGAGGGAGGATTACATATTAAGATTGACTAATGTGTGTGTGTTGGGGGAGTAAGTGTGGACAAATGATTATTATTGTCATATTAAACCTAAGATTGAAATAGAAGCTGATGTTATAGCAGATGTTGAAATAGTTTCAGTTAAATTGAATAAATCAATGAATAAATGAAACTAAATGTAATTTTTATATAATTGTTATAAAATTGTTACATAAAATTTTCTAAGCCTTTTAAAACTAGTTAGTCAAAGGAGGGGAGAAATCACATTTTCTATAAGAAAAGAGAAAAATATTAAACTAACTTTGATATGTAAATGGCATATAACATTAGTTTTCTTTGTACCATATAATGATTCAATATATGTATATATTGCAACGTGATCGCAACAGTAAGTCTAATTAATATCCATCATATTGTAACTGCTACAAATGTTTTTTGTTGTGATGAGAACTTTTAAGATTGATTCTCTTAGCAACTTTTTAATATATAATACAGTATTATTAACGATAGTCATCATGCTGTCCATTTTATCCCCAGAATTTATTTATTTATAACACAACTTATTTTTATGTAGTTTTTGTAACAAGCCATTTATTTTGGCATATATGAATTCTCTCATAATAATAGATTAAGTATGTACACTAAAATTCTTTGAAAATAGGGGTTAAACATAAAGTATTTACCATAATACAGAAACTTCCTTTTGAAGTTTATGACTATTTTTCCAAATATGTAGACCATTTGCATTTAATGTAATTATTGATATGTTAAGGCTTAAGTCTGCCATTTTAATTTTTGTTTTCTCTTTGTTCTCTCTCTTTTTCATTTCCCTGTTTTCTTTTTCCTGATTCTTTGTGGGTTATTTGAATATTTTTTTTTTTAGAATTCTATTTGGATTTACTTATAGTTTTTTAGTGTATCACTTTGTATAACGTTTTTGGTGGGTGCTCTAGGTATATGTTAAATATACATAACTTATACATCTACTGTTGTCCACAGTTTACCATTTCAAGTGATATGTAGAAACATTTCCTCCCTTTACATTCATTTACCTTTCCCACTTATAATTGTCTTATGTATTTTCTTTACATACATTGAATGTTATTGTAATTCGGTTGTAAAGCATAACTTAAAAAACTGTAGAGGAGGAGGAAAATCTATTGTGTTAACCCATATTTTTATATTTCTCTTGTTTTTTCTTTCTTCCTATTGTTTTAAATTTTTTTTATGACTTCCTTTCTTTTTGGAGAATTTCCTTTAGTCATTATCAGACAGGTCTCCTGATAACAAATTTTCTTAGTTTTCCTTCACCTACAGTTATCTTGGTTTTCCCTTTATTCCTGAAGGATATTTTCACCAGACACAGAATTTTTTTTTAACTAAAACCTCTTTTTTTAATGTATTTTTTCATTGATTTTTAGAGACAGGAAGGGAAAGAGAAACATCGACCAGCTGCCTCCTACACTCCCCCTACTGGGGATTGAGCCTGCAACCTGGGCTTGTGCCCTGACTCTAAATCGAACCAGTAACCTCATGGTTCCTGAGTCGATGCTCAACCACTGAGTCACACTGGCTGGGCTCACTAGATACAGAATTTTTTTAAAATATATTTTTATTGATTTCAGAGAGGAAGGGAGAGGGAGAGAGAAATAGAAACATCAATGATAAGAGTGAATCATTGATCGGCTGCCTCCTGCATGTCCCAACTGAGGATTGAGCCCACAACCTGGGCATGTGCCCTTGACCAGAATCGAACCTGGGACTCTACAGTCTACAGGCTGAGGCTCTATCCAGTGAGCCAAACCGGCCAGGCTAGATACAGAATTTTAAGTTGACAGTTCTTTACTTTCAGCACTTGAAAATGTTGTGCCACTTCCCTCTGGCTACATGTGTTTGGATACAAATTCTATTGTCATTTGAATTGCTTTTCCTTTACAGGTAAGGTTTCATTTCTCTCTTGCTACTTTTAAGATATTTTTCTTTTTCCTTCTTTTTTTCAGAAGTTTGATTTTCATTATTTATGCATGGATTTCTTTACATGTATTTTGTTTGAGATTCATTAATCTTCTTGAATCTGTAGGGTTGTATCTTTTGCCAGCTTTAGCAAACTTTCAGGCAATATTTCTTTGAATCCTCTTTTAGTCCTGCCCTCTTTTTCTCTTTCAGGAATTTTGTGACATGAATGTTGGATCTTTTATTATATTCCCAAAAGTCCCCAAGGCTTTTTAGTGGGTGCTCTGATCTTTCTTTCTTTCTTTCTTTCTTTCTTTCTTTCTTTCTTTCTTTCTTTCTTTCTTTCTTCCTTCCTTCCTTCCTTCCTTCCTTCCTTCCTTCCTTCCTTCCTTCTTTCCTTCCTTCCTTCCTTCCTTCCTTTCTCTCTCTCTCTCTCTCTCTCTCTCTCAATCTGCTT